ACTGTTTGTTCCCAGAAATTAGTTCTATGTTCAATCATCATCACCATAGCCCGTCAAGTCAGTTCTGACTTTTTAGGGTTTTCATGGTAGAGAATATTCAGAAGTGGTTGACCACCCCGTTCTTCTGGGGGCATCCTGGGACTGTACAGCTTGCCCAAGGCCACATAGGCTGGCTCTACTCACAGGAGGCATAGTGAAGAATTGAATTCCCAGCCTCTGACTCCACAGACAGATACCGAAACCACTGAGCTATCCAGCCAGCCTCTGTGTTCAACGAACATGCTAAATAGCAAAAAGGCCAAAATCCTGTTCTTCCACACAAGCCAAATTGTAACTTTTGGGCTGTTCTTCACAGTAAACAAACTTTCCATGCTGTGATTCTTGGGGACACATGCATATGCTTGCTTGGTCCATGTATATGTGTGCTCCATGAATTGTGAGGATGGTTTGTTTACCAGAGAAGAATGGTCTAAAAGTTACAGTTTGACTTGTGCTAAGGAACAGGATTTAATCTTTCTATTCTTTTTTTCCCCATTTCCCCCAGGTCTATTTCTATTTAATGTTTCTGTAATCTACTGCTATTGTTTCTCAAATCTAAACTATTTTTTAAAGTTCTCTCACTAAACCCAGAACCAGCCAGAAGGACTACTTGAGGCTGGATCTCCGAAGAATGGCCCAGTCATAGCACAATTTACCGCCCTGATTTGCGTTAGCACTTTGTTCATTAGGTTGTACAAATTCTCCACTAAGCATAGAGTGTCTTACATAACCAGCAGCAACCACTGATCAAATGAATTTGATTCTACCTAATTTTCTCTACTGTAATTTTTTCTATTGCCACTTAATGGTCCATATTAGTATTCCCTTCATAAAACCTTTTTAAGAATGATCTCCTTCTCCCAGCTTGCCTTTAATCAGGTGAATTTCAGCTTCCTTGGCAAACAGTGGGAACTACACCCATTTTATAATCAAGCTACCTCTTTTTTTGGCCTTATATCCGTGATTTACTTTTACTAACCTCTTATCTTACCAGGAATGCAAAGAATGTCCTTCAGCAACTTCAGAGCTGAAAGTTATAGTGACTTCTCGACAATCACTTACATTTTAAAGCAAAAGCTGCTTCCTTTCCAAATTTGGGGGGGAGAGAGAGATTACTTCCCTCTACTAGTATTTAAAAACCCTGGGGAAACCTTGACATTAGTCAAGCAAGTTAATCATTAACTAAACAGCCTGCTTTAATGAAGGATGGGCTGTGACTCCATATCACCACACTCTGCTGTCAGCGTAGCGTACAGGAGGCAGCACTAGCTTTTAAAGAGGCTGTTCATGCATTTGTGCTGATGATTGCAGCAGTCTTCTGGCACCAGGTAAGATGCTAAAATGGGTGGCTTTAAATAAGAAATGTGAATTTCATATTCTAATCAGTTCAACAGAAAAATGCACACAACTGCAAAAATAACATTTTGTCCTCTCCTGAGGCTAGCTTTAAAATGTGAAGATAATACAGTTAGAAGTTTATTTCTCCTCAACCCCTTGTTTCCTGTTAAATTTAGTTCTGATTTAAATATTGCACTTATTAATCTCATTCTCCACTAAAGGCATTATTGAACTGGTAAGTAATATTTTAAAAAATTAATATAGATTATAATTGGATTTTTTTTAAAAAAAAAAATCAAGAATGAATGCATCTTCTCATGGAAGCTGGGGAAACCAGTTTCTGCCAATCCTGTCCTCTATTCACTTTGTCAGCAAAAAACCTGCTCTTGAGAGATCTGGGATCCTAAACTGTAGGAAATTCTAAATATTTCAACCGTAGGCATCTGTGTGCAGAACAATCCTGCCTTGATCAGAATCTTTGTAAGCCTAAATGTTGATGTATATTTGTAAAATAATAAAATTTTACCAGCTCAAAACCCACTATTTCCAAATGTTCAATATCTGAGGTTGTAGTTTCAATGGAGTGCTATTAAGAATACTTAAGTTTAATGTATTTTATTTTATTGAAAATATACAAATACCATTCAATCAAACATTTTAAAATGGGATCGTATAGATTTAATTCAATATAATAGATTTTAGTTTGAAACTGGAATGAGTTCTTTCTAGTGAACATTGTCTTTTTCTAAGGTGACAAAGAATCAAAGTCACCCTTTTAATCCAGATTTGCCCTGGTACTACTCACAATGGGTCATACCTTATTATGAATGCTGAAATTGTTTCCAGTGCTGCCTGTCTCCATGACAGATATGCCAAAATCAGTAATGTACTCTTTCAAAGTACCTTATTTCCATGAAGATACATCATTCCCCAGGCAGATTCTCTAGAGGAGGAAAATGGAAAAGGTTAGCAATATAGAGGTTAATTTGTTCTCTCAGATGTAAATGCAGTCTGATCAATGAGTGTTAACATATTGTTGGTGACAATCATTTTCCCTCCAAAGGATGCAGTGGTCCAAGTCCTTGTGGAAATTAACTATTGGCATTTAACTATGTAGTTAAATGCTGGAAATTTCACGATGTTTCCTGGAAAAGGCAGAGGTCTCCAATATGTCACAAGGTCCAATTTTGACATCTGGAAAAGTTATCCAATTTAATTACCATGTTTATATAGAATCAGTTGGGCTATTCTAGTTAACAATTGGATTTTAAGTCCCGGTATTTTGCTACTAGTTTTATCCAACCCCAAATTCAGGCAAAACATATCAATTTTCAAAATATTATTTTTAGTTTTCCATGAGCCAAACAGATTCTGTTAAATACAAAGTTATGGGAATCTATAGCTAGCTGGCAGAAAGGGAGATAATATGACATCTGCTTTTAATTAGTTTCTTACAGCTCAATTGGCAGATGCAGTCAATAAAGTTTCAATATCAAAACCTTACAAATTGTAGTACATGTGCCTAAATTAAACTTTAGTTCTGTATGATGCTCCTTTCTTTTTATAGCCCAGTGGAGATGCTGGACTTAGTTCAAGATAAACAGAGGGCAGTTTTGTTGCTTTTTTTAAACCAGCAGTCACTTTAAATGATAAATCAGGCCTTGGGTCAGAGATAAGGAAACAGCTTCTTTGACCTGATCTGTAAACTGACTGGGGATTCCTAATACCCAAAGACTCTTGCACTGTTGAAATATGTCTAAGGCTCCAGACTCTGTATAGACTTAATCTCTTTGTATATGTTGCTCCAACCAAAACAGAAAAGATGCTTTAGATTATGAACCTCTCTTTGATGCAGAGCAAACTTCTGGTAATCCATGCCACGGGGTAACCACTGAAAAGTAAAAATCTTATATGATTTTCCACCCTCCCATTTTTTTCCAAAAACAGTTTACATAATGTTTAAAGATTGCAATTTATAAATCATTCATCCAGACATGTCCAGTAGAATTCAATGATTATATGCAGAATATTCAAATTTGTAGGTTCAGAGACAAACAAGGTATAATGATCAGCTTTGAACATCTAGTCCAAGTGTGGAGAACATGTGGCCACCCAGATGCTTTGGAGTGGCAATTCCCATCAGCTGTAGCCAACATAGACAAGGATGAGGGACTGTAATTACTGAAATTACAGTCCACTAATATGTGGAGGGCCACACATACTCCATCTCTGTTTTACTCCAGTGTTTTCCAGACTCGGGTTGCAGAGGTTGTTGCTTGTTGGGCATCAATTTCTAGATGCTCCAGCCAGCAATCCAGAGTGATCAAGGATTTTGTGTGTTGTGCTCCAATAACATTTTGAAAGCCAGGTTTTGGAACCACTGCTGTAGTCTATACTATGGCTGCCAGCTGAGAGTGGCATCTGGTATTTGTCTGTTCATTTCTGCTCTCAATGGGGCTTACTCTGAAAAAAGTCAGAAGAGGATTGCAGGCATATATATTTAAATATTTGTTTCTATTGACAAAATCTTGTATTTTCAGCATTTAAGTACAATCTTCCAGATATGATGCACTTATGACGCTCCTGCTGATGTAAATTCTCTATTCACCTCTATGTCTGGAAGTGCACACAAAAAGCAAGACTGTTGACTGCTGTCTTTGCATTTGACAAATGGGAAAATGTTTCAAGATAGGAGTGTGCTAGTTTTATTTACTTCTTTTTATCCCAACGTCCAGAATTGTTCAAAAATTCCCCAGACAGAATTCTGGGAGTTTCAACCTACAGACATAACCCACATTTCACTCACCTGGAACAGAGCCTACCTCGGAGGCTTCTAAGGCCCAGTTTTTTTGTTGTCAATTTTTTAAAAAGGGGGAAGTTGCCTCAGTGCTTCCTTGGAGACCTAGGTCTTCATGGAAGGTACAGTCTTCCTGCTGGTTAGGCTCTATAGAGATTTAGTCCCAAAGAACTACATGTCCCACAAAGACTTAGGCCTTCCAGGATGCACCAAACAGGGCTTTTGTTTGGGGGGGGGGAGTTACTTTAACAATAGGAAACAGGGGCTTCAGAAGGCTCCAAGGCAGGCCCTTTCCAGGTGGGTGAAATGCAAGTGTATGTTTGTAGGATAGCATTCTGCCCGGAGGATTCTGGGAGTTTGAGTCCTCCTCCCAAAAGATTACCCCAACAATGAATGGCACTCCATCTCAACTGCAGACCCCAAACCTCAGCTCATACGACCACTAAATAAGTCAGAATCAGTTTAATATGCTTCTTTTTATATATTGACTCAAATGAGAAAGTTACGTTTTATGAGCCTTGCCTACAGAAAGCATTTACTGAGTTGAAGTTAATTGATTAACAGCTAGGTTCTTTCCTGAAAGCAATATTGGATAACTGATGTTCGAAAGCTGTTCATCCAGAGCTGTTACTGCTTTAAAAGACAAATCATTTCTTTTTGGGGAGTGGATACCCTTCTAAGAACTCAGTTCTTTCTTTCTGGCACAGAAATATACACTGCTGTGTAAATATGTTCTGTCTATTTGTCTTATGAGTACACTTGACACAACCCTTCTCTATAGCAATTTATAACTAAATTTTGTGCATGTATTTTTCCTCACAGATTTTTAAAATATAAAGTCAAGAGATGAGTCCTATGGCAAAGGATTATGCTTCTTTCTCCTCAAAGAATCACATAGTAAGTTTAGAAACTGTAATTCATTAAGATACAAAGGAAAATATAAAAGGAGTCTTATGCATGCTAAGGTTAGGGATTTCAGCAAAGCCATCCAAACTTCTATCACTGGCTCTCTGGAACAGCTGAATTTCCCTGGAACCAGCATCTTGATGACCTAATTAGAAGCATATTTTGTTCCTGCTTTCGTAAGAGATGAAACTTAGAAAACAAGAACCACAATTACTTTTCAAAACAAAGGGTTGATACATGATCTGCTGAATGTGTAGAAACAGAATGACTTCATTAATCAGGTTTCCCTGTCTTGTGCGCATATGGGATTGCCATACCACTAAAGCTGAGATCAGAGTGTTGTTATTTTCGGGGGGGAGTACTTTGATAAAATATTTCCTCCAAAGGAAGTCCACCCTACTGATGTTCCAGCAGCAGGCCTTGAAATGCATTAAAGTAGTAAATAAGCAGAATGGTAACTTTTGGCTCAGAAAAAAAAATGTTATATGTTTGTCTCAGCCAGACTTCTCTTAGGTTACTTTAGGATTATGAAGATTGACTGTGTATTTCATGAATGAATTGGAATATATTATCTTTGAAGAGACAACCTCCCTCTTTTCTCTTAGGAATCTCTTAGGCAGTGGCAGCGATGTTACCATAGTGATTCGAGTTGTCCTATCTGCCTCCAGCCTGCTACTTTCCCAGTAGGAACCAACTGTGGGCATTTATTTTGTGGTAAGTTAATAGGATGACTTCATTTTCCACGTACCTACGTTTAATTTTACCAAACCTTTACACTGCATGCAACTATAGACAAACAAATATATAAACATCCGAACAAATACTGAAACTGTATTGCTCTATTAATTGGGGTAAACATGCCCATGACTGATGTACAGGTTAGACGACTGTAGATTTCCCCTATAATCAATTGATTAAATCAGTCTGGATCCAACCCAATGTTATTTATTTACTTCATGCTATGTCTTGTATACACACATCATAATTTTATTAAAGACAGAGAAAGAACATAAGTGATAGTTAAGTAGGAAATTTTCCTGCCAAATAAAACATTGCCAGAAACCAGGTAAGTGGCATAACTCAGAGCAGTGAATGGTTGCTAATTAACAAGCTCAGTTAAATTCCTAGTAGTGTGCAAGTTGTGTGACTAAGCACATGACTAAAATTCCATCAGGGGCTTCTTGATTAGCAACTATGGCTACTGAAAGGTAAAGAATCCAAATGTTTTCCCACTTACTAATTACAATCCCACCTAATTTGATAAAAAGTTATCCTTCCTATTATGGTATAGATTTTTTGGATCAAGATTTTAATAATGGTTTTATTTTTAGTTCTGCAATGTTTTCTTTTTGGTGACAGAATGAGAAGACATAGCACTCACACAAGGCGGCAATCAAATGACCCTTAGAATATACTGGAATTGCTACCATGTTTCCCATTTGATAATGAAAACTCCATGTCCAAAAGGCAACACCATTAACCAAAACTAAAGTAAAGTGTACACTGAATTTTGGGGATCCTGTGCCAATGTAACAAATGGAAAGTTTCTAACATTAAAAGACCCCAGTCCACCTCCCAGTCCCGAAGCTCCTAAAGCCTTTTCAAGAGCAAAAGGGATCCCTAGGGGGCACAAACCTAGTTAGTATCTTAAAAAGCAGAGACATCACCTTGCCAACAAAAGTCTGCATAGTCAAAGCTATGGTTCTTCCAGTAGCAATGTATGGCAGTGACAGATGAACCATAAAGAAGGCTGACAGCCAAAGAATTGATGCTTTTGAATTGTGGTGCTGGAGGAGACTCTTGAGAGTCCCCTGGACTGCAAGGAGAACAAACCTATCCATTCTGAAGGAAGTCTAGGTTTGTCATCGCGTCTTTTAATTTCATGGCTTCTGTCACCATCTGCAGTGATCATGGAGCCCAAGAAAGGAAAACCTGTCACTACCTCCATATCATTCCCTTCTGTTTGCCAGGAGGTTATGGGACCAGTGGCCATGAGCTTAGGGCTTTTTTGTTGAGTTTCAGACCATTTTTTGCACTCTCTTCTTTCACCCACATTAAGAGGTTCTTTAATTCCTCACTTTCTGCCATCAGAGTGGTATCATCTGTGTATCTGAGGTTGTTGATATTTCTTCCGGCAATCTTAATTCCGGTTTGTGATTCATCCAGTCCTGCCTTTCACATGATGGATTCTGCATATAAGTTAAATAAGCAGGGAGACAATATACAGCCTTGTCCTACTCCTTTCCCAATTGTTCCATATCCAGTTCTAACTGTTGCTTCCTGTCCCACATATAGATTTCTCAGGAGGTGGGTAAGGTGGTCAGGCACTCCCATTTCTTTAAGAACTTGCCATAGTTAGCTCTGGTTCACACAGTCAAAGGGTCTTACGTAGTCAATGAAGCAGAAGTAGATGTTTTTCTGGAACTCTTTGGCTTTCTCCATAATCCAGCGCATATTAGCAATTTGGTCTCTAGCAGAGGCCCCTTCAAAACCCAGCTTGTACTTCTGGGAGTTCTCAGTCCACATGCTGCTGAAGCCTACCTTGTAGGATTTTGAGCATAACCTTGCTAGTGTATGAAATGAGTGCAATTGTATGGTAGTTGGAACATTCTTTGGCACTGCCGTTCTTTGCGATTGGGATGTAGAATGATCTTTTCCAGTCCTCTGGCCACTGCTGAGTTTTCCAAACTTGCTGGCATATTGAGTGTAGCACCTTAACAGCATCATCTTTTAAGATTTTAAATAGTTCCACTGGAATGCCATCACCTCCACTGGCCTTGTTGTTAGCCTTGCTTTTTAAGGTCCACTTGACTTCACTCTCCAGGATGTCTAGCTCAAGATCAGCAACCACACTATCTGGGATGTCCTGGACATCCAGATTTTCCTAGTATAATTCCTCTGTGCATTCTTGCCACTTCTTTTAGATGTTTTCTGCTTCTGTAAGGTCCCTACCATATTTGTCCTTTATCATGTCCATCTTTGCACAAAAGGATCCTTTAATATCTCCAATTTTTTTGAACAGATCTATGTTTTTCCCCTTTCTATTATTTTCCACTATATCTTTGCACTGTTCATTTAAGAAGGCCTTCTTGTCACTCCTTGCTATTCTTTGGAAGTCTGCATTCAATTTTCTGTAACTTTCCCTACCTCTCTTGAATTTTGTTTCCCTTCTCTTCTCTGCTATTTCTAAGGCCTTGCTGAACAGCCACTTTGCTTTCTTGCATTTCCTTTTCTTTGGGATGTTGCTGCCTCCTGTACAATGCTACGAGCCTCTGTCCAAAGTTCTTCAGGCACTCTGTCCACCAAATCTAGTTCCTTAAATCTGTACTTCACTTCCACTGTGTATTCCTAAGGGATTTGGTTTAGATTATACCTGACTAGCCCAGTGGTTTTTCCCTCTTTCTTCAGTTTAATCTTGACTTTTGCTATAAGAAGCTGATGATCAGAGCCACAATCAGCTCCAGGTCTTGTTTTTGCTGATTGTATAGGGCTTCTCCATCTTTGGCTGCAGAGCATATAATCAATCTGATTTCGGTATTGTCCATCTGGTGATGTCCATGTGTAGAGTTGCCCCTTGTGTTGTTGCAAAAGAGTGTTTTTGATGACCAGCTTTTTCTCTTGACAAAACTCTATTAGCCTTTCCCCTGCTTCGTTTTGAACTCCAAGGCCAAACTTACCTGTTGTTCCTTTTATCTCTTGACTCCCTACTTTAGCTTTTCAGTCCCCTAAAATGACAAGAACATCTTTCTTTGTTGTCAGTTCTAGAAGATATTGTAAGTCTTCATAGAATTGGTCAATTGCAGCCACTTCAGATTGGTGGTTGGTGCATAAACTTGGATTGCTGTGATTTTGAAAGGTGTGTTTTGGATTCGCATTGAAATCATTCTATCATTTTTGAGATTGTATTGCAGTATAGCTTTCCTCACTCTTTTGTTGACTATGAGGGCTGCTCCATTTCTTCTACGGGATTCTTGCCCACTATAGTAGATATGGTAATAGTCTGAGTTGAATTGGCTCATTCCCATCCATTTTAATTCACTGACTCCCAGGATGTCAATGTTTATTCTTGCCATCTCCTGTTTGACCACCTCCAGCTTCCCAAGGTTCATAGATCTTACATTCTAGGTTCCTATGCAGTATTTTTCTTTGCAGCATCAGACTTTCCTTTCACTTCCAGGCACATCCGCTGCTGAGTGTCCTTTCGGCTTTGGCCCAACCACTACATTAGCTCTGGAGCTACTTGTACTTGTACTCCACTGTTCCTCAGTAACATGTTGGACGCCTTCCAACCTGAGGGGCTCATCTTCCAGCATCATATCTTTTAGCATTTTGTTTCTGTTTATGTAGTTTTCTTGGCAAAAATACTGGCGCGGCTAGCCAGTTCCTGCTCCAGGTGGAACTCTCCACTATGACCTGTCCATCTTGGGTGTCCCTGCACAGCATAGTCCATAGCTTCTCTGAATTACTCAAGCCCCTTCGCCATGACAAGACAGCAATCCTTGAAGGGGGTCATCAAAGCCAGCAACATGAATTTGACCAATCTCCAGGAGGCAGTGGGGGACAGGAAGGCCTGGCGTGCTCTGGTCCATGAGGTCATGAAGAGTCGGAAATGACTTAACGACTAACAACAACAACAACAACAGGGAGCATCAGAATGTGAAGAGGGGGATAGGAAGTCTTTAATTTAGTGAAATTAAAGATATTCCTCACCTGATGATGGTGTCATCTGGCTTGTGTGGCATATATTTATGCCAACTGGATTTCATCCAAAATCTTTCAGTAAAAACCACAGCAACATAAATGCATTGATATAAATATGCAATATAATGGCTGAAATGGTGTAACTTTTAGAGGCAAACTGGCATATGTTACCTTCATAGCCTTAATCTATTGTATGCCAAGTCGCACAATTCAGTGTGTGATAGACAATATGTACAAAGATTTCTTAATTTACAATATTTTGCTTTAAAAATGATGCAGGTTGTGTAGCTGCTCAGCAGGATTCCAGCCAATATTTATCTAATTTCCATAAAACAAGATCCTTCATGATTTAGCCCATCTCCACGCAAGTCTCTTCCTAAATGTTCCTGTGATTGTTAATGTGGCATAACAAGAGATAACTCAATACAAACCAGCGACTCTGTTTCCAAATAAAGATTACTTTTATAACACAGTTGAGATGGCTGTACGCAACCTATGTAATATCACAGAGACACAAACAAAAATCTGTTTTTCTTGAATCAGTACATGTTGTTTGAAAGTTGCATATTTTATTTAATTAGCTTTCAAAAATGAGTGAAAGTGAGCAAACATATATTTAAACATCATGTTTGCTGATTGTTTTAAATGGTGATTGACTATGACTTGAAGGGAAAATGTATGATCGCTAATCTCTGGCATTGTCAGGAATTCCAGTGTTTCTTCTAAGATGTTTCAAATTTCATATATATATCTCAAACCATATGTCCAGGAAATAGAGCAGAAAGCTGATCCTGTGTCAACGTTATTTTCTCTAATCGCTAATAGCCAACAGAGTGTTTCTTGGGGGCCTTGCAATATGCCATAGCGAACGGGATTAAAATGGGATATGAGATAATTTTTAAAATGTGGATATGCACAAATAGCTGAGTTGAAGATGGCTTCGTCTTTCCTGCCTACCTATTTTGCTGTTGGAAATGAATTGTGGCAGAAAATAATAATTTTTAATACCTGGTTTTTAACAACTTGGAAAACTAGTCTCTTTTTCTTTTAATACATGTATGTAGATGCAAATGTAGGAGACGTCTGCCAAGTATACTCAGAGCTCACCTTAAGAAGTCTACCTGGTAGACTTTATTATTATTAGTTTCTTTATTAGTTTTATTTATATGCCACATTTCTCCCAACAAGGGACCCTAAGTGGCTATGAAAAGTTTGGGATATTCATTTATAATGTTTCTGCACCCTCCGCAAGATATTGGTGCAGGCTTGAAGAAGTGGTTTTTAACTGTGAAAGCTCACGCTGGTTGTTTGATTTTTCGTGGTCAAAATAAAGGCATTACTTCTACATTTGTGTTGTGTAAAGGACTACTTGGCTGTCTTTGATGGACGCACATCTGTAATTTGGTTCTAGGTGGCATCACTACTCTATATGGGAATCCCTGGAAATGTTTATTTCAAATTCTGCATACCAGTATACCTAGTTGCATCCATTCTTATTCAACTGCGAAACACAGAACAGAGGAAGCTGTTTTAAACTGGGTCAGACCACTTGATCCATCTAGACCAGTATTGCCAATTCTGATAGCAACTCTTCATTGCTTCAGGAAGGATTCTTTCCTAGACCTAGCTGGAGAGACCAGGTATTCTACAATAGTCTCCCATTAAAACACTAACCAGATTTGACCCTGTTTCGTTTCCAAAATCTGATGAGACTGGGTATGTCCCAACACTTTCAGGGTTAGGATTTCATGTTTCTGAGGCCTTTAAATTTATTTTTTTGTTGCTGTTACTCTTTGGTTGTCAACTGCACCTGACCTTTCATCTATCAATGGTAGGTGAGATGGAGGATGTTTTGTAATCACTGTTTTCATCATTTTCCCGAACAACATTTCCTCACTTTTTAAAAAAAAAAAGTTGTCTCAGTATGGAAACTTTTTCTCAATGTAAAGGGTAAAAAAAAGGTAACTAAGGCTGATGCCATTTTTCAAGATTATGTCTCCTTTTTTCTAGGTTCCTGTCTGATTGCCTACTGGAAACATGGGTCTTGGTTAGATGCGATTAGCTGCCCACTCTGCAGACAGAAGGTAAACATTTGTATTTGCATTTTTAGAGCTACCACAGAAGGTGAACATTTATTGAAAGCAATTCTGTTTAAATTACACACGTTTTCCAAACTCATCTATCCTCCAACAGCCATCTGCATCTCTCATCTAACGCCTGCCAAATCAGGGAACTTCTATCAAATATTAAACAGTGTGCTTAAAGCAAGCTTTTTATTACGGTTGGTTAGCTCCCACTTCATGTGGCTGGTTGGCTCCTGCTGCTCACATTAGAGCTCCTTAGACTCATCTGACCTTGCCTACTGGCTGCATACGACAATGCACAAAGGTCCCAGTATAAGGAAGTGCCATGGAAGATGAGAGAAGGCCTAATAAAACTGTAAAACAGCTTTGGCGGAAACAACACTTGCACTTGTTCCAGCTCTAATCTAAATTACTTCTCCTTGCTTTTTACCTGAAGGTTATTCTTCTGTACAATCTGTCTTGTGAAAGCCAGCCTGACAAGCCAAGCAAAGGAGTTGTGTATGACATCAGAGATTACAACAAGCGCTTTTCAGGACAGCCTCGACTTGTAAGTGCCAACGTCTCTGATTTCTTTATAAGCAATTCAGTCTTGTCATTAATTTTATGTTGCATTCGAGATTGTTATCCCTCTACATGAGTCTGCTACACCATGTGGCACCAATTGATTAAAATTCCCACTACCAGAAGTTCCATCATGCAAAGCATCACTATCATTAATGGAGCAGTGAGTCCTCGAAGGGACATGGGTAATGTTGGCCAAGGGGAGACAAGCCAACTAACTGGAGCGATTAGCCAAATAATGAAGGCTTGCCACCTGGATGTTTATTGTGTTTTCTCCACTTTAATAATAATAGTGTTTGGGCCAGTTATCAGGGATTTAAAGGTTTTTTCTTTCAGGGATAACCTTAAAATCCTTCTCCTTACTGAGATCTTGCCCTGCAACACATTAAATTAAGTGCCATGAATAAAAATGACAATTTTATAACATACCCAAATTCTGCATCTAGTTTACAGATTACCTTTATGACATGCCACTGATTCTCAACCTTGCTGTACGAGGAATCTTTACACTGGGTGGCCTCGTGTGGATCTTCTTCCTCAGAGTTGTCATCTGCTCTTTTGGAACCCTCATGTCCATCGTGTCTCCCTTTGATGTGATGCCGGAACCTCTTTGCGGAATCCTGGCTGCAGTTGATGACCTAGTTGTTGTATTCCTCCTTTTAATTTGTATGATAAACATCTGCTCCCAAATAGAGTCTGAAGGAACAAGTACTGCAAACTCTGGAACACAAAACATTCTGTGGGACTCACAGTGAAGCCCTAGTTCTTCTTAAGGAGAAAAAACTACCAGAACACAGTGAACTCTCCTAGTGTCCCAAAGCAATGGACTGTGGGTTTCCTGCTTGGACAGGAAGACCTTCCTGTTTTGGGAAGGGGATGGATCCTTGGAGTTCTTTCCAATTCCTCAGTTCTGTGGGTTCTATGATTAGAGTAACACTAAAGCTTTAAGGAATGTGCTGTACTTTAGTTTCCAGAAAAGCAACTCAGAACATGCCATGTGGAAGCTCTACAGTTAATCATGGATCCATGACGTCTATGTGTTTTCAAAGATGCTCTGCTGTTCTAAAGAGAAAATTTCACATCTGTGATAGTTGGCTGGACTTCTGGAAAGCACAACAGCAAAAAGTTTCCCCGAAAGTGTCACAGCTCAAAAGCACAAATATGACCACACACACATATACAAAAAGGTACATTTATACTAATTACTGCAATGTCTAGGACTGTGGTGCCATCAAAATGACATTCATGTGTTTGGCACACAAAGGAAAAAGAAATTGCCTTGAGCATTCAGCAGCTAACTGATCTTGGAGTCCAAAGCTTTGGCGATCCTTTGGAACACTCTTTTATTATAGATGTATGTATACAGGATTGTGGTTTGTGTATCTTTGCCAATAGTTTTTAAAAAATCCAGCATTGTATTAGTGGACTTCTACTGGTACAATGTAATTCTTCTGTCTTCTCTTCCCCTCTGCAGCTCTTCCAGATCTGTTTTGCAGGGTCTCCCAGCCATCTGGAGGAGATTTTCAGGAGATGAGGAGGCTGAGAGGGGGAAAGCAACTTGTTGCTTTCTTGGATGGCAATTCCATTGTCAAGCAAACACAGCAGTGCCCCCAAACTGAAAAAAACAAACAAGCAAACACAATCCCACTAATGGAATAAAAGGGATTATATGAATTGGACAAAGAACATACTACTTTTGGACATGCAGAGGGTTTTTTTTTTAAAAAAAATATCCCTTCTCCATGCTGAGTGTCTCAGTTGTAACTTTTTTATTTCTTTGTTTTCAGAGAGAAATTGAGTACCCCATGCAATTTCCTATTCATCATTATAGATCAGTGATTCCCAACCTGGGACATGTGTACCTGCAGGGGCATGAACCAGTACGTTTAGGGTTATATGAAAAATACTGAATAATGGCAGGAAAACGCTCATATGTCAACAGAGTATGACAAGATACAAGTCAAAAGTTGTGAAATTAGTTTAACGTTATGATGAGTGGCGGAGCAGATTTTCTTCATTACTGAACCTCAAGAAAGTTCCCTCACTTTGTTATTTTGGTGAATGGTGTGGAGTCCCTCCTAAAGAATGTGTTTGGTTACAGTTGGAACATATAGATTTGAAATAACAGCAATGGTATTACTTACAAACGTGCTAATATGAAGGGTACAATTTATTGAAATGGGCTGCCAAGGGGTACAACAAAGGAAAAAAGGTTTGGAACCACTGTTATAGATAACAAAACTGAGACTAAACTTGTGGCGTCTGATATAAGCATAGACACCGAAATATACATAGGAAGAACATTAAAATTACTGGTAAGAGAAGAACATTCTGAATATTCTTTAAATGTAAACTGTTATGTTTGTGTTATGAAATGAGTGTTATACTTTTGATGTGTCTGTGCATAAGAATGTGTGTACAGTATATACATATTTATTATTCACAAAGTTCTGAAGAATCAGTGTTTCATCCTTCAGCATTTGTGTATGTGTGTATTCTACTTTTTTTTCTAATTGTCTTTGTGAAATATTTATTCATAGATTAGCAAGCAGAAAGAAATTAGGATAGGTAAGGCACATTCTGATGGTTAGTCCCAACCACAGCAGAACTACTGAAATCAATGGGCCTTATGTAAATGTTGGCTTACTAAATTCTCAGTGGATGTATTCTCAGTGGACTAATGACTAGATTGAGTCCAGCATCTGCAGTGAAGTACAGACCACTTGTTCTAGGCACTGTTAAGCGCCTATTGCTGTTTCCTGCTTCTTGTTGTCGGAGCTGCTTCGTGGCCAGAGCAGTGTGTTAGAGTCAGTTACCCCCTGGTTGAGTCCTCAGGAAACTTACTCTTTGGATCAGAATGGAATTTGGGCAATTATGTTACAAAAAAATGAGATTTCCAGACTCTGATCTAGACACGTTTCGTTGTACCCCACAGTGATATTACTGAATTGTGAGAAGTAGCCTGAACACTCAGCTTTTAAAAGATCTTATTAATTGATAAGGGCACCTGTGCTATTTTTGGCTGCCCAAAGTATTAACCAACTACTATGCAACTTCTTTAGCTGAAGAGGTTCCCCTTCCTTTATACTTCTGGAGAACATCTATTTAAAAATGAGTGGAGAGGTAGGCCAGCAACAGCCATGGGTCAAAAGGATGGTACAGATAATAAATAATGGAAATAGGAAGCCCCAGGGCTGTGGGTGTGAGGGAAAACATTGCCCAATTACACTTTTCTATATCATGAAATAATGCACACTACAACTTTTGTAAGTACTATACCATAGTGCTGGCTCTACGGCTTGAAAACGGGATGAGCACCGCCCCTTAGAGTCAGACATGACAGGACTAAAAATGTCAAGGGGAACCTTTACCTTTTTACTTATACCATAGTGCCACTCTCCCTGACAGCAGCACATTGTGACCTTTGCTTTCTTTGGAGACAAAAGGAAATAATTTGATTTAGTGTTTGACATTAGCTTGGAGACTGGCAGTTATTTGGAAACTGTTTATTAACAATGGAATTATAATTGTGGTTTCAGACAGAAAAAAGATTCAAGAAATGCATGGGGATGAGGGACAGGACAATGAGAATTCTCCATCAAGAGTGATACTCCTTTACACAGATGGCACACTCTGCATGATAGCTTTATACTCCCGCTGATGTTCCAAAAGTTTTAGAAACACCTCGTACTTCTTGTCATAATATCTGTGGAGGGAAAATAGATCCAAACAATTAAAACTATTTGAAAATGTTTGTAATAAGCACCAAGAACAACTCAGTGGGGCCTCTTCTCACACAAACCACACCAAAATAAGGGAAATTATGCAAAGACATGATTCCTGCTTCTGCTCAATTTCTATTTGATAGGACTTGCTTGGGCAAAGCTCCAGACAAACAGTGGCCACTTTGCTTGAGTTCTGCAGCAAAGGTTCAGTTGGCTTTTCTTTACTTAAGACTCTGCTAAAACACACCATTCCATTCTTGCTCCTTATTTGCACTGTGACAATGTGTGTGTATGTTGGGCAGGAAGGATTTGACCACTGCTAAAAAGGAAAGGGTGTGAAACAATCATCCTACCAATGCTGCCAGTCCTCCCATGAGCCATGAAGTTCTGAATACAAATCTACATCAATTGCTCCATGACTTCTTGGGAGAACAAAGAAAACAGGTGCTTGAAGCAGAGTTCTAGTCATGTGGGTAGCTCTGCAGCAGCAACAACATCAAAAAAAATAGAGGCCAGAAATTGCTGTTTGTGTTCTTTGTCGCCTGCTAAGTCACACAACTGGTACATGACAAGGAATGGAAAAAACAACTTGTTAATAAATCTCTCTTATATATATCTGATAGTATATAAAACATATATGCATACATAATACATATTTTGAGGATCTTGATAGTATGAAATATACTATCACATATTAGTATAATATATACTAATATACAGTACGTATGATAGTATATGCCATATTGGATTTCACCTCAAAATATACGTTGACACTTTTTGTTTGACAACTTTGGTCTCAGTCCTCCCAACCATTTTTTCCCCTCACGAAATATCAGTGTCGACAATTCGATTCAGTTTGTAATCTCTGTACTTGCGTATCCATCCTACTCTTAAGAGCATCCTTTTAAAGGTGCAAATGTGCAGATCTGCTGACCTTGGCTGAAATGATTCTATTGCAAATGAGCATCAAATCACTGGATTTGAACACTATATTAGCATGGAAATCCTCTTCATGTTAAAAACGCATCATAAACTTCTCTTGTACCTTATAGTCACAGAAAACGTACAGACACTGTACTGTCAAATGCACATACATTTAGGGGTGTGGGTGGGTGTGAGTGTATTTAAATAAACACCATAACGTATGGGTGGTGTCACAGCTTTATGCTTAGAAGGGCCAATGTCACAATATAGTATCTAATAATTAATCTCTACATGTCGAGGCTAAGGCTATTGTGGAGCATTTAATTGATCACACATAAAATTATCAATGCAGAATTATGTCCTAGCATCCTATTCCTAAACATAATCGAGTTTTTACACTAGCCCACCCCTTTGTGAGTGCAGAGAAGAACAGACAACCTCACATCTGCATCCATGTGCTCTATGCTCCTCAACATGTATTGTGGAAAACTTGAAATCACCTGGCTCAAATGTACTTGATATTGATTGCTATTGGGTTATATTGTCTCATACATATCTTTAATTGGAAGCAGAGTATTCCTAAACCAATGGCCCCTATTTTCAAACAGTTGTGGCTCCTGAACTGCCTCACCTGAAATTATGGCTCTCTCCTGTTCAATCAATGAGCTTCCTATGTGTTCAAATAAGCGTGTTTTAATATCAAACGGCTAATGCCCGATCCTAGGCATCTTTTCATCAACAGACAATGGGGGAACAGTCAGCCAGCCAGCCAGTCACATACTCAGGGCAACCAATGGCAGCAGCACCATTTTAAGACAAAGAACACAATGCTCTTGGTAAGGCAAATTATCTGACACAGGAAACTCCTCAGCGGTAAAATTACATTAATAACAAAATGAAAAATATTTTACTACCCTTTTAATGGCAGTAAGAATTTGATGACTGAGCCTAATGGTAGGGCCAGTTCCACTTAATTCAGGCAACTGATGTTGGTGATTCAAAGGCAAATAATATTCTTCCAAATAATCTCATGCCTATCTTGCCCTTGCATTTTCCCACGGCAAATGAGACTGGCATTTTTTTTCGTCCTCCACCTGTTAAATAAATTTGTTGCAATAACCTAAATAGAGGGAGTCCACCATCAGCTGCCTCCACGGCACTGCATGTATCCTAGTACAGTAGTCTAAATCCTCACCAGCTGAAAACAATGTGTCTCTGTGAATTTCTCCAACTCAACTTAAACCTTGGATCCATTTTATTCAAACCTACTTGGGTTCTGTATTCCTAAAGTATAAGTAAGTTGAAGTCTTTGGCTGAAAATGCAAATGCAAGAATCCCTTGAGTGTCTTGGGTAGAGTCTTCACTTAACCTGCAGGTGGTGCTGTGGCACTTCTCAAATACAGGTAAGTATGTGGTCAGCTTCTGTCTCCTATTTGAAAGCAGAGGCTCAGATCCTAAAATGAGTTAATTTATGGAAGTTCACAGAACATTTTTTTTTTTAAAAAAAAAGAAGAATAAAAACCCTCTCATATATGCCCCGGCAGGCAGGCATCTGTCTCCCAAAAGGCCTTTTTGAAGGGGTTGGCCGCTCTCCCAAAACAATACCAGAGGCTAACTGACTAGCAGGGGAGGGATTTTTAAAATGAATAGTATAAATATATATTATGACCCAAGCCCAACGAGGGGTGATTCTCCCTTCCCTAGAAGCTTCCCACAGCCCATGCATCACAGAGGAGGTAGGGCAACAGAGAGGCCTTTCAGGTGTTACAAAGAATATCGCAGAAGGAATGTGTCCTTTCCTGAACATCCTTAAATGTATCTTAGGAGCACAGCCAATGTGTGTTGTGGTTCACAACAGACAGAAGTCATGAGGTGCCGCACAGTAACATAGCAAAGTTAGGCTATCAAAGAACATAAGGTGTTCTACAAATTGGAAATGACTCCAGTCAGTTGCAACTAGAATAGGCCCATTGTATCTCTGGGGATTTGGGAAGGCAGCTCCTCTGTACGTTCCACTGATTCAGTGGGACTACTCTAGCTGTGACTTACCACTGGATTTCAGCCAATGATTCTAAGTCATTTTGAACCACTCCTACACATTTGGCATTTTAGTCAGAGTTTCTGTTGTCTCCGTTGCTGTCTGATGTCCTTACTGTTTCTAACTGCTGATTTCTGTCCTTCTTAAATAACATCCCTAAATTAAAAAAAAACTACCACTTCCTCCTACAGCCTCCCAAACTTTCCCTTAAGCCTCTTCTGCTCAAGAACACTTCTTTCAAAAATAAGTGTCTGCTTATTTTCTGTGAAATCTTTCTCACTTTGCAGCCCCCTCAACTCCCAATTGCTCCATCTCTTCATGTAATAAGGGGAAGCCAATCAGTCACTAGTTATGCTATGAATAATGCTAGTCTTTCTCTCCTGCATTTCAGCTTTCCATAGAGATGGCTCTATTGAAGCCTGTTTACATGAGCAGTTGCTGTGCTGAAGATGGCTGTCTTTTGAATTTAAGTGCAAGTGTTAGAACCTGAGATAGGTTGCTTGACTCCTCCAGGAATCCTACGGAGATACATAGATCTTCCTGGTCAAAGATCAAAAGTGTGTTGCTTATCACAGCTAGCATCTATCCCAATTAAGGGTTAATATCAGAATGAAATAAAATAATCTCAGACAATCATATCAATGTTCATCTGAGTATCATGATATAAGCATTTCATTGTTGGAAAAATTCCAGGTAACATCACTTTGCTACAAAAATCTATCCCTACTGTTTCTTTGCCTGCAAGTTCAAAGTTTGTTAAGACACATCATCGACACCCAACAAGATGAGTGAGGTGCCAGGTGACTGGAGGAGCACTAATGTTGTCCCTATCTACAAAAAGCAAAAAGGAGGAACCTGGGAACTACAGGCCAGTCAGCCTGACATCAATCCCAGGCAAAATTCTGGAACAGATTATAAAGAAGTCGCTATGCAAACACCTAGAAAACAATGCAGTAATAACTAGAAGCCAACATGGATTTGTCAAGAACAAATTCTGCCAAACTAATCTGATCTCGTTACCTCCCTACGAGACAGAGAAAATGCTGCAGACATAGTATACCTTGACTTCAACAAAGCTTTTGACAAAGTGCCCCATAAGATCCTGATTAGCAAGCTAACTAGGTGTGGGCTGGATAGATCAAGTGACAGATGGATACACAATTGGCTATAGAATCATACTCAGAGGGTGATGATTAATGGGTCCTTCTCTAGCTGGGAGGAGGTAACAAGTGGCATACCGCAGGGCTCAGTCCTGGGCCCAGTGCTCTTCAATATTTTTATTAATGACCTGGATCAGGGGATACAGGGAATACTAATCAAATTTGTAGATGACATAAAATTGGGTGGAATAGCTAACACCCCGGAAGACAGAAAAAAAATTCAAAATCATCTAGATAAGCTTGACTACTGAGCTGAAAACAACAATGAAATTTAACAGGGATATGTGCAAAGTACTGCACCTAGGAAAAAGAAACCAAGCACACAGGTACAAGATGGAGGATACCTGGCTTAGCAATACTAAAAGCGAGGAGGATCCTGGAGTCATTTTACATCACAAGCTGAATATGAGCCAACAGTGTGATGTGGCTACAAAAAAGGCAAATGCTATTTTTGGCTGCATTAACAGAAGTGTAATCTCCAAATCCTGCAAGATCCTTGTTCCCTTCTATTCCACACTGGTTAGGCCTCATCAGGAGTATGGCACCAAATTGGAACAAGTTCAGGGGAGGGCAACAATGATGATCAGGGGGCTGGAAACCAAGCCCTATGAGGGAAGGCTGAAATAACTGGGCATGTTTTGCCTTGAGAAAAGAAGACTGAGGGGTGATGTGATAACACATTTCAAATACTTGAAAAGCTGCCATATAGAGGAGGGGCAGGACCTGTTCTCAGTCATCCCTGAGTGCAACAATGGGCTCAGGGTACAGGAAGCCAGATTTGAGTTGAATATCAGGAAAAATTTCCCAACGGTTAGAGCTGTATGGCAATGGAACCAATTATCCTGAGAGGTAGTGAGCGCTCCAGCGTTGGAGGTGTTCAAGAGAAATTTAGACAACCATCTGTCAGATCTGCTTTGATTTGTACTGCTGCATTGAGTGGACTTACAGGCCCCTTCCAACTTCATGATTCTATGATTCTAAGATCTAAGCCTTTTGACTCTTTCTTTCTCCATATTGTTATTAATTACACTATAACTGTTACCTGAGGACTAGTGGTTTTACATGAAATGTTGTTGCAAAGGACAGTGATGGACTGGTTCTTTTCTGGAAATTCACCTTCATGTCCCTTTGCCTCCTCATTGACAAACTCATAGTAGGGCATATTGGTGCTGAAAATTGGTGCATACAAGATTTTGCTGTAGTCCTTTGCAAGCTGGATGGCATTAAACAACTCAAATGCTCTTCCTCTTCTTTGCCTCATCTCATCCCTAAGTACTTTTGGTAGTCATGTGACCATTCATACATGATACAATACACAGAAGGTCATTTTCTTGAAAATAAAGACAGACAATTGCAATCCTAACTCAAAGATGCACTAGCTGTAATACGGTTGGGATGGGCAGAAGCCACTGGTGCCATGAATCTCCCTTGGGCTGGCTGGTCTCAGATTTGCCAGCACAACTAAATCTGAAACCACAAGGGCTGTCCTGGTTAAATCAGGCAGCAGAAGTAGGGAATACTAATCAAATTTGTAGATGACATAAAATTGGGTGGAATAGCTAACACCCCGGAAGACAGAAAAAAAATTCAAAATCATCTAGATAAGCTTGACTACTGAGCTGAAAACAACAATGAAATTTAACAGGGATATGTGCAAAGTACTGCACCTAGGAAAAAGAAACCAAGCACACAGGTACAAGATGGAGGATACCTGGCTTAGCAATACTAAAAGCGAGGAGGATCCTGGAGTCATTTTACATCACAAGCTGAATATGAGCCAACAGGTACAAGATGGAGGATACCTGGCTTAGCAATACTAAAAGCGAGGAGGATCCTGGAGTCATTTTACATCACAAGCTGAATATGAGCCAACAGTGTGATGTGGCTACAAAAAAGGCAAATGCTATTTTTGGCTGCATTAACAGAAGTGTAATCTCCAAATCCTGCAAGATCCTTGTTCCCTTCTATTCCACACTGGTTAGGCCTCATCAGGAGTATGGCACCAAATTGGAACAAGTTCAGGGGAGGGCAACAATGATGATCAGGGGGCTGGAAACCAAGCCCTATGAGGGAAGGCTGAAATAACTGGGCATGTTTTGCCTTGAGAAAAGAAGACTGAGGGGTGATGTGATAACACATTTCAAATACTTGAAAAGCTGCCATATAGAGGAGGGGCAGGACCTGTTCTCAGTCATCCCTGAGTGCAACAATGGGCTCAGGGTACAGGAAGCCAGATTTGAGTTGAATATCAGGAAAAATTTCCCAACGGTTAGAGCTGTATGGCAATGGAACCAATTATCCTGAGAGGTAGTGAGCGCTCCAGCGTTGGAGGTGTTCAAGAGAAATTTAGACAACCATCTGTCAGATCTGCTTTGATTTGTACTGCTGCATTGAGTGGACTTACAGGCCCCTTCCAACTTCATGATTCTATGATTCTAAGATCTAAGCCTTTTGACTCTTTCTTTCTCCATATTGTTATTAATTACACTATAACTGTTACCTGAGGACTAGTGGTTTTACATGAAATGTTGTTGCAAAGGACAGTGATGGACTGGTTCTTTTCTGGAAATTCACCTTCATGTCCCTTTGCCTCCTCATTGACAAACTCATAGTAGGGCATATTGGTGCTGAAAATTGGTGCATACAAGATTTTGCTGTAGTCCTTTGCAAGCTGGATGGCATTAAACAACTCAAATGCTCTTCCTCTTCTTTGCCTCATCTCATCCCTAAGTACTTTTGGTAGTCATGTGACCATTCATACATGATACAATACACAGAAGGTCATTTTCTTGAAAATAAAGACAGACAATTGCAATCCTAACTCAAAGATGCACTAGCTGTAATACGGTTGGGATGGGCAGAAGCCACTGGTGCCATGAATCTCCCTTGGGCTGGCTGGTCTCAGATTTGCCAGCACAACTAAATCTGAAACCACAAGGGCTGTCCTGGTTAAATCAGGCAGCAGAAGTACTAAACGTGGGCAGAGAAGTAGCTTCTGCCATTTTTTTGACTGCCTCCAGCAGCCAGAAAATGGGAGATACATCTCCATTAAAAAAAAAATAGCTTTTTTGTTTTTTTGCAGCAGGGCTTTTTCAGTACTCCCACCCTTTTTAGTTTAACTCATTCTTCAGTTTAAAAAAAAAATTGTAGCACACTTTACAAAATAAATAAAGAAACGTGTAAATTTTACTCTTTGGCCACGCACTCCCCATCAGCCCCTCCCCTTGGGGTGCCGGCAGATCTGAAAACTGGTCCTCGGCCCTGCTGAGCTGGTACACCCCTGGAATAGATGCTAAACATTTCAAAGGGCAGCAAGAACAGGCAGTTTTATGCCCTTTCCTAATTCTCAGAGAGTGACACTCAAAAAAGAAAACCCCATTACCTTTTATCCTTGTGGTTTGGCAGTACTGTTCTTCCAACTCTTCCCATTTTCTCCATAGCATCCTGTTTAAAGATCAACAGAAGCCAGCGTGGCCTGTTTCAGTTTAACATTCTTAGTAAAGAACAAGATGTCTCAGAAAATAAACAGAACACAGCTGATGAGTTTTCTTCTGGGTTAAAGACCCGAGTGCCTGAAATACATCTTTTCTCATTAGCAGACAGCAAGGAGAACACAACACTGCAGACGGCTCAGTGAGCTAAACACCCTGGAAAGTGAAGTAATGTGATTATTTACACTAAATCACAAACACCATCCGTGGCCAGCTGATTATTTAGATAAAGTACCCTGAAGACATTTATTGTTTTGCATGGGAATGAATACATGCACACAATGATGGCAGTTCAAGGGTGAAACTGGAAAATATATCTAATAATTCAGAAAAACTCAGGGCCCAATCAAACTATAATTATTCTGGATTTAGTTCCAGTGAGAGCAGTAAGATTTGAGTCAGCACTGACAAATCAGTCCCACTGTTCTTAACTAACTTGAGAACTTCAACATGTTCCTGCTATACCGTCAGTAATTTAAGGAAGTGGGAAAGTACAGAAGCGCATCTCCAGGTGGTTTTTTCCTCTCCTCTCCTTAGAACAAGAACAGTGTCATCCCCTGCTGGAGACTCAGAGAAGGACTGACAGACTTTCCTTGAGAGAAAGCAAGATAATGTGCAGGCCCACAGTCTGATTCTTTGAGTTGGGAGTAACCTGAGCACAGTGAAGTTGGCTAGCTTTGTTAAATAAAAAGTAGGGGAGATAAAGTACTTGAAAACAAATCAGCAAATAGGTCCACACCCTCCACCAGGAAATAAGTATTCACATAAGCAGGCCATACTAGGCTTTGTGAGATAATGACTATTCCATCATTTGCTTAGAGAAGAGTGACCAGAGGAAAGTTTGAGTGTCCTCTACACACTCGGCACAGTAATTTATCAGAAAGGGCCAACAGACATACTATCTTCTTCTTTCCACGCATGTAATTCACATGTAGGGGCAATGAAATAAAAAGGCTTCGTCACAATTAAGTTCAGCTCTAATGATTCACTATTAACATTTTTTAGCCTTTCTGAGAATGTTTGCAAGTATAACACTAGCTAGTAATACAATTTGGCACATTTTACTATAGGATGAGGGTTTTCATTGTATTGACTAATACTCCAAAATATGGTATTAAAAAAATTTCAAAGAATCAAGACCAAATGAATGACAATCTCACAAATAGCTAAGTGTGGTAAAGCTAATGGTTTTAACAGGCTTAACTATTCTCAGCAGTGCTTAAATAGCTCAGTAGGGTTAGAGCACCTAATTGTAGAACTAGAGGTCAGGAACCAACAGAGCCTCCTGGGAGAAAAGCCAGATTGTGTAGGTAAGCTGTACTATCCCTTGTCACTACCAGAAGGAGGCACTGCTGAAGCATTTATAAAACATTCATACCCAGAAAATGCAAGGAAAGTTGTTGTAAGTTGGAACAAACTTGAAAGAACGTAATGATTTATACAGTAATTATGTTTAATGCTGTAAGGCTGGGGCCTTTATTTATACATATATTTACTGACCTTTCTGTTTGGATTTCAGGGGCAATGTGAAACCAGTATATATTGCAGTAAAAATAAATAGACATGATAAAACCCTTAAAATAAAGTATTATGATAAATAAAATAATTTAGTACATAAAGAAGTTTTGTCCATTTAGAACAGAATACTTAGATTTATTAGGAGTAATATATTGATCAGTGACAAACAGGTCGCTAAAGATTTATCAGAAGGAAGAAAGGAAGGAAGGAGCAAAAAGGCAATTCCTTCCAGTCTTCTTGTCTTTCCCATCCAGGTCACAGGTACTGTACAGAAAACATGTGCTGTTTGCTTTAATAATAAAGTGGTGTTGAGTCAATTCTGACTTACGGGGACCCTTTTCAGGGTATTTCAGGTAGAGGGTACTCAGAAGTAGATTATAATTCTCTTCTGGGGCTGCTCTGGAACTGTGCAGCTTGCCCAAGGCCCCACAGGCTGGCTCTACTCACAGGAGGCATTGTGGGGACTGAAACTCCCAAACTCTGCCTCCTCAGCCAGATCTCTAAAACACTGAGCCATTTGTTATTCCCTAAAGTTGGAGATAATTCTGCTGTTCACATAAATATATACTTGCACACTTTTTTTTAATTTAAAAGCAGCTTTTCATTTAGCCTGCAAGCTTTTTTCTCACCCCAACCCATCCTCACATCTTTCTGGGAAGAAAATACCCGCCTACACAAGCCATAAAAAGATTAAATGGTTTTCTTTCAGGGAAGAGAGAGAGGAGAGAGGAAGAGAAAGGAGAGAGGAAAAGACAGTACTATCCTCAGTATCTTGCCATGATGAACGACCTGAGGTTATTTTCTGTAGGTTATTTATTTAATCACAGTATTTGCATTAACCCTGGTTGATACTGCTTGGAAAAACATAACACACCCTCCAAAAAGCATGCAGCTGAATGAACATCACCCATGGTGTCTATAATAAGAGCACATAAAAGGCAACACCCCCCAAAACAAACAAACAAACAAACAAACCACCATTCCATCATTGTTTCCTTAACCTTCAATTAATCCTAATAACCCTGTGAAAAGTGATGTTGGGACAGGTAAGTAGTATTATTGACAGTTAAATAGCATTATTGCTACTTAACACATGGGAAGCTGGGAGACCATTCATGCCTTTGCATATTTCATCTGCTTCTTGTTTTCTGGAACTTAGCTTGGGAAGCAGCTACTGTACCAAGAAGTTTGGGTGGTGCTCTTCTGCTGCTACTGCTGGGCAATGAGACTCAAACGCCACTGTCTGGGGAGCTCTGGAAACCCATTGGTTTATATCAGGGGTAAGGGAACTTTTTTTACCTCCCCCCCCCCCAAATTTATATACGTCGACATTACCCCCCCCCAGCTGTCACCGTCTGCGGCTGAGCCCTCCGCCTGGGACCTGTGGCCCCCACCCGGGCAGCTAGTCTGAAGCTGCCACCCCACTGGGAAAGCACATCTTTGGCGAGGGGAGGCGGGCGCCGCAGGTCCAGCAGGTTCACTGGCCATGAGCTCAGGTGAGGCAGGGCAGGAAGGGGGCCTCCTCACCAGCGCACTGGGCGGGTGGGTGTGGGCAGGAAGGAGAGCTCTGGCCAGGGCTATGCCGAGCAAAGAGTCCAGCTGGTCTGGTACGCCATCCTCCCCCAACTTTGGAGGTGAGGAGGGCAGACGGGTGCCCTGTGCAGTTCCTCGCCAGGACTCGCTCTCTGCCCGCGACGGAATGCCTGGCTACACACAACATTGTCGGAAATAAAATGCCTGGGGGTAAAATGCCTGCCGCGACCGTCCTCATTACCCCCAGGATTTTCATTTTTACCCCATTTGGGGTAATTTACCCCTGTTCCCTGACCACTGGTTTATATAATCCATGCAATGCACAGATTGAGGTTGAGGCTTTGGAAAGGCATGACTTCAGGCAATTTCCAGATTCTTGGAAACTTTCCATGGAGAGCACAGTTTTATTCAGAAATGTTTCTTTTGAAGCACCACTCACCAACTATTTCCCACAACTGTCTCTATCTGCTGCATGATGTATCTCACTGGATCACTGAAATCACTTCTCGACTTCCCAGTTCACTGGCCTCAGAACCCACACCCTTCAGAAAACAATGCCAAAAGATCTAGAGATGTTTGTGTGTTTGGAGTGGCTGGCTTCCAAGTAAAATTGACTCTTTCAGTAGTAGAACATTGAATTCTGGAATGTTCTTTGCCTGAGGGATCTCTGATGCCTACTTCTGTTATCATTTCAGTGCCAAAGGATCACAGAATTGTAGTTAGGAGGATCTCCTAAGGGAATCTGACCTAATCTCCTACTAATGCCAGGAGATGCCCTTGAAACAGATTTAAAAAGAAAGAAAGAAAGAAAGAAAGAAAAACCCAAGCTTCTTTAATCTCTGCTTATGTTATTTCTGAGGTGGTTTATATGCTTTTTAAAAACTCTGTTGACATTTTAGTTCTCAACTTCTTCTTCTTTTCTTTTTAAAATCTGATTTTTGAATTTTCAAGTTGCCCTGGGGACCTCTTTGAAGGGCAGGTTAAAAAAACCCAATACAGAACAGAAACAAAAGAAAAATGAAAAATAAAGAAAACAAACATATTGTGCGGCCCCCTTAAAGACTAACTGCTGTATTTTAAGGTGAGCTTTCGTGGATAACTCCAATTCCTCAGTGATATAAATACAACTCTGCATATGAAGACTCAAGGTTGCACCCACAAAACCTCATGTATAATAAATACAGTGGTGCCTCGATTTACAGACGTCCCCACTTACGAAAATTTCAAGTTACGGAAAGCTCCGGCCGCAAAATTTTGCTTCTACTTCCAGCCGGAGCTTCCACTTACGAAAGGAAAAAGGCAGGGGGAAAGGGCAGGAAATTTAAATTTACAGTACTAACTGTTGGTGCCGAAGAGGCTGCTTCTATGTAGCTCTTTTGCCCCAATGGTTAGGGAAAGGGATGCGGTGGGGGTGGCCCAGAGCCAGGAGGCTTGACCCTCCTGGGTGCTCTGGCGGCGCGGGTGGCAGAGGCAGCGGTTGCCGGGAGGCTTGAGCTGGCTGGGTTTCTTCGGCCACTTGCCTCCCGACCCGTCTCCGGCTAGCTCCGCGCTGCCCTCCGCCATTTGAATTTCCCACCATGGCCACACGGAGGGTGGTGCGGAGCAAGCGGGAGGCGATTCAGGAGGCAAGCGGGCAAAGCACCTCGGCCAGCTCAAGCTTCCCGGCGTTGGGCGACCACGGCCGCAGGCGAGCAGCCAAAGCACCCTAGCCAGGCTCAAGCCTCCAGGCGGTGCCGGTCGTGGAGGCGGCAGAGCCAGGGCCGGGAAGAAGCAGTGGAGGTAAGGTACTGCTGTTAACTTTTTACTGTTTTGGATGGCTTTTGCAGGGTGGGATTGGGCTGGTGGGGTTATGTTTTTAGATTTTGTTTTTTGCAGGCCCAGGGGCTTGCAGTGTTTTTTTGG